GTCTTTTTCAGACAGGGCCTCACTATGCAGTTCAGGCTGGCCTTGAGCTCACTTTGTAGCCCAGGCTGGTCTCAAACTTGCAAGGATCTTCCTGCCTCAGCCTCCCAAGTGCTGGGATTACAAACATGCACCACCACGCCAGGCTACAGGGAGCTATTTTGAGCATATCATATTTGGGAAAATTTTACATCCTTTAAGAACGCATCTAATAACTTAAAAAATGTTTAATAAGAACTAAAAGGAAGTAATACCCTTTGAATTTGCAGTTTAACATTTATGTATGCTCTTCGCAATTGATATTAGGCCAAGGATTAAAAAAGTAATTAGAATAATATTAAAACCTAAAGGCTGATGTGCAGTATGTTGAATTGGAATAAAGAAAGTGACAGAAATGAAGACTAGCTGCACTGAACAGAGATAATGCTCATAATATAAGAGGTTATGTTTGGCCATTTGAACTGTAAGAAAGTAGAAGTGAGAAAACTTCTTAGTCTCTTTGTGTTAGGTTTTCTATTATTGTCCTGAATAAATGAGAAAAATGAGATTAGATTAGATGACTTATTGTGCTCGGTTTTGCAGGCACTATTCACCATATTCAGGTATTAGGTAACAGTTTCCTACTTCTTAGATCAAGGGTTAAAATAACTTGAAGCATTTTGAAATCACACATATTCCTATCCTCAGTGAATTGATTTATTATTCTGGGGTGAGATTCGTGCATTGGTATTTTAAAATTTTTTCCAGGTGATACTAATACTAATATACAGACAGGGTAGAGAAACTTTGGCTTAAAGCTTTTGTCATTAGTAGCATATATTTAATATTTAAAGAAACAAATCAGCAAATGTGAAGCTTGAAATAAACTTGCAGGACATTTTGCAAAATATATGGAAGTACAGTGGATAACTGCCAGAGCACCTGTAAGGGCTCACAGGTGCAGGGCAGGTGGTTGTCCTTTAAACCACTTTGATAACTTTTGCATTAGCATCAGTTGGTCTATATTTAGATATAGAACAAATTGTGTTGAAATCACCAGCTCTTGAAGTGTGAAATGAAGTCACCTTCATTTCAGAAAAAATATAGTTTGATTTGGAGTGTTTCTCTCGGCACCATTCACAAGTATACCCCAAACCTCTAATTTTCCCTCAGTCCTTCAGGGGTGTGAATGACACTTAGGAGAATTTAGCAAAGCCATGTGTAGTGGATGACTACATGTACCACAGTGAGTATTCAGAGTTTTCTGGAGCCATAACACGAAGAAAAAGGTGCAAAAACAACCTATTCTGGCTTGACATTATTATGCAGTTACGAATGTGACTCAGAAGCCTGTGTGTGTGTGTGTGTGTGTGTGTGTGTGTACAGATACTGACCCTTGTCAAAGGTGTGTTAATAAATGCAATGTTTTAGGGGGAATAGATTGGCTAGGTTTCACTTCCATGCCAAGTTGTGGAGCTATCATAAAAATGAATGGCCCAAATTTTCCCCTATTCCCTTTACTTTTCCCCTATTTATCAGATTTTTTTTTAATTTTAAAGAGAATAAGAAAAAAACAATAAAAATGATACAGAACTTCAAGACAAGATGCTAGGAAATTAACAATGGTTATTATATTGCATACTGTTATCTTCAAAGTAGTTGCTCAGATTACCAGATATAGGCATTTAAAATTGATCAAACAATATAAGCACTAGCTGTTCCTTTCAATAAATTAATAGAAATTAATAGTACAATTATCTTAGCTATCGTGTGTGTGTGTGTGTATGTATATATATATTTTCCCTTTCTTCTTTTCTCCTTTCCCTCATCCCAGTTGTTCTTTCTTTTTGAGCAGTTTCTTTCCCTTTCACAATGTCTATTGTACCTTTTGGATCTTATTTACTCTCAGTTTCTTACACTAGGGAGAAAAGATGATGTTTACACATGCATGATTTATTTCACTTGTAAGTACAGTCTCTAGTTGCATCCATTTACCTATAAAAACCTTGAGTATATCTTTCTTTATAGCTGATTTCTTTATAGCTGATACAATACCTCCTTGTATAAAAACACATCTTTTTTATCCATTTCTCAGTTGATGGGCATTTGGGTTGTTTCCAAGATTTAGCTATGACAAATTGCACTGCTATGAGCATGGGTGTGCATATATAACTGTGATATGATATTTTCAATTCTTCTGGGAAAATACCTGGATTTTATGTGTTACTGAACATGTGTTCATAGACAGTCTCATTGGATGTTTTCAGTTTATATCATAGCAGTGACTTTTTCATTTATTTTAAAAATAAAAATAAAATTTATTTTTTTATTGAGATATAACTTAAATGTCACATACTTCACATCTTTAATGTATAGAGCTTAATAGCTTTTAGTAAAATCACAAAAAGGAATAACTTTCTCCATCACTGTGTTTAGAACATTTCCATCCCCTGCAAAAGGAATCTTTAACCTACTTACGGTCACGCCTCAAAGCTCCTCTTCCTAAGGCCTGCATGATCACCAGCCTCCTCTCCACCTCTAGCCATTCTAGACATGTTATGTGACTGGGATCATATGTATGTATATATGTAGTCTTTTGTGCTTAGCTTCTTTTATTTACCACAATGTTTCCAAAGCTCCTCTGCTTTGTAGCCCCTGGCAGTGCCTTGCTCCTTTTCATGGCTGAATAATAGTCCATTGTACAGATAAGGTATATTTCCCCCATTCATTCATCAGTTGGGTGTTTTAATAATTTTTAATAGGAAGAAGCTTAAAAATAATAAATTTTTGATTTTTTTAGTCTGAGCTAACCTACCTACGTCCTTTATTGCAGGTAGAGGCATCACACCCAATTATGAAGACCAGCATCCTGCTCATGCTTCTTTGCGGGGTAGCCTGTGCTCTCCCAGTAAGTATTAGGGTAGGGTTAGATATACAGTAGAAGCCTCTGTGGTTTAAACTACATAATTTTCATTGACTGCGAATCCAAGTAGCTGTGCGTAATGCAGCCATGTGAAAATACAGTGTACCTCAGATTAGGAACTTAACTTGTTTTATGATTTGGGAGAAGACGGCTTCCTTTGTGTTTGCATGGGGAAGCTAACCATGGCCCTGTTTGTCACCTGATGGGGAGTTTGCAAACAAAAGCGAAAATTTGCCAAACACCTTTGTTTGCAAACCCAAGTGTTTGTGAACAGAGGTATTACTGTAGTCCTTTCCCAGGAAGCTGTTTTCCTTAAAATGTCCAAACTGCTCTTATTCTGTTCACTTGCCCTTGTGCAGCTGTGACTCTCACCTTCGTCCTCACAAGGAGTGGTTCTCTGAGTGTCACCCAGGGCCACAGAGTCAGCACTGATCAGAACCCTGCTAGAGTCATAAATCCTTGGGTCCTACCTCAGACCAATTAATGCAGACTCACAACAGTCTGGGTTTTAGGAAGGCCTCCGGTGATCCTGGTGCAGGCTCATGCTGTTCACAGCTGCTGCTAATAAGTGTGTAAAATGGAAGTAACCATTGCCTTCCTTGTGCACTGACCATGTGTACTAAATTTTCTAGGTAGCCAGGTATCAAAATACTGACTCTGAGAGCTCTGAGGAGTGGAAGGTGAGTAGAAATATGACCTGGTAATATACAATGAGTGTAACATCATTGAGTCTTTACAAACGCTGATGCTGATAAGGCTGTGGGAGCATATTCACAACCTAATCCACACTTGTTAGTTCATATAAGAAAATACTGCAGTTGCAGCTCGGTAGTATAATTTGGTGAGGAGTATTTTTTCCTTTTAGCTCTCTTCTTGTACTGAGCCTTTATAGTAGTGCAAGAGGTGGAAAGCAATGAATCGAGACTGGCTATGGGACACTTGGACCTGAATTCTGCTTAAACAGGAAGTAATCCCATAGGCAGGAAGTGAAACCCTGGCAGGTGAGAAAAGAAAGACAGATGAGAGGATGCTGGAGTTTGGGGATTGATGGTAATGTTTGTTGAATGTTGGACCCTCAATTATCCAATAACTATTAACACTCAAGAACTCACACAGCATAGCCCAAGTGCTTCATGTGCATTAAACTTCTCATCTTCACAACCTAATGAATTAGATGTTATATTTTATTCCCATTTTGCAGATGAGAAACTGAGGCACACAGAGGAACCTAGCCTATCTGGGTTACATGGTTAGTAAGTATTAGAGCAGGGCTTTGAACTCATGTCCTTGTGACTGCAGAGTGAACATTCTTACCGAGTTGACTCTTCACTCTCAGACCAGAAGCCCAGTCTAAGAAGTCTGCCGATTCTCAAGATAGGCATTTGAAGTGGGGGTTTAAATCTTGAGCCAAGCTTGGAGCATTTTGTTCACTATTTTGTTTTCCTGTGCATATGATACAGCTTGAACCCAGAGCCTTTCATGGTGAACGAGTAATGCCAGAGGTCTGGGGAGGGTCCTGCTCATGTCTCAGGCTAGCAGAGACGTCACAGATGTCATGAGCTTTTGTCAGAGCAATTCCTAGGCTAGTTAACGTAAAAGCAGTTGCTGTAGATCCTCTCATTTAACCAGAGACTCACAAACATGCCTTGTTCTCTAGTTCAGCCTTAGAATGAGAAAAATACCCATGTCTTGTTCTGTTGTACCCACTGATGCCGAATGTGCTGCAGCACACTCTGCCGTTGTGCCACACATGGGACAGGTGACCACAGGTCCCTGACCGGTCCCTTCTCTGAGCACCCAGGCCCTCCTGCTGAGTGGCATATGGAAGGCAGGCGGGTGGCAGCTTCTGTGCCCTGCTTTGTGCTTGGGTTACAGCCAGGACCTTGCTCTGCTGCAGGGTGAGGGGAGAGGACATAGTGGGCTGCGGGGAGGGGACACAATTGTCCCCGGCTTTCACACAGCTCTGATGAGACCGAGGAAAGTGAATAAATCAGAACTGTAACTATGTAGTTAAAATTCAGCACTTGGTTTTGCTATTGGTACTTTTTGGTGACTCAAGACGGTTGCATGGCTTCTCAATTCAGTTTTGCCTGTTGAATTTTATAGAGTGGATATTCTTGAAATAGATGATCTATTTAGTTCAGATCTCCTGGAATGGTGCTCAAGATGTGTCTGTAGCGCTTAGCTGGTTCTTCTGGCAAAGTCTTCCATGTTGAGCACAGTGGGTGTTTATTTTTCTTAATTTATGAGGAAATGACAGGGGAAGCGAATCGCCCCCTTTCACATGAAGAAAGCAACCCTTCTGGCTGCCCCAGGCTGTAAGGGGTTCCTGGGACATCAGACTTCCATCATGCTGGCTTTGGGGGCTGAAGCCAAAACTGAGTTAACTGGAACTTCAATCTGGACTCTGGGTTCTGAGGTTGTTATCCTGTTACATTTCCTCTGGGTTGTATGAGTAGCCAATTTCAATAAAAGTATACGGATATTTTTGTAAGTGTCAGATATTTTTGTAAGTGTCATATCAGAAATACAAACACCTTCTAGATCTTTTATATTCCAAGATCTTTTCAGGCTAAGAGTCATCATCCCTTCAATGTTTTGTTATTTTACCATAAAACTTCATTATAACTCAGGTAAACGTAAAACATATAACAGAAAGATTTAAAAGCCACCTAAGGGTTTTCTACATATTTCAGTGACATAATGTATGGAAAAGTCATGCTTCTCTTCCTTTTTTACAGGGTGATTTGACTCCATCACCAGCACTGCCTGTGGTAATTATGCATTTATTTTTGTCTTAAATTAACTTTGATACTCTTCTACACACTTTCTTCCATTTTGTAGTAGTGCATACAAACTCAGGTAATTGATGTATATCATATTCTCTTCTTTCCTGAGGAATTACTAAAAGGAAAATAAACTTTTTTTTTCCTCTTTCAGAACAGTGAGTCATCAGAAGAAAGTAAAGTTAGCTCAGAGGAACAGGTAATTAAACTTTCTTAACTTTTCTGGCTATTTAGGAATCTAAGGAAATGATGGCAGATTAAATTACCTGCAACATTTCTAAATATAATATTTTCTAACTACTGGTTATGCTGGCTGCACAGTTCCATAAAATAAGAAGGGGAAAATGAGGGAGCAGAGTTGAGATGTGGACATTCTGTGTCATTCCATTTTTATCATCTGAAGACACTGTGGTCTCAGATGTCCCTCGTCCTAAATGCATGCACGCACGCACACACACACACACACACACACACACACACACACAAACTGTGGACTAAGTCACAGTTCACTGAGCAGCTATCTAAAATGGTGCTTTTAGAATTGGATCAGTTCAGTTCAGGCAAGAGAAACTATTTTTTCCCAATGCTGGGGATTGAACCTAGGGCCTTGCATATACTAGGCAAGTGCTCTAACACTAAGCTACATCCCCAGCCCTAAAAAGACCATTCTGCTAACCTGAGGTGCCTGCTGCCCCCGGAGAGCACCTCCAGGTTGAAGACGCCACTGGGGAGGAGAGGAGCATGTTGGGAAGCCTTTGGCATCTCTTTAAAATAGCTCCCTCTGCAGGCCTGAGGTGGGAAAGGCAAACCTAGCTTATACACGTTTATTAAAAAGAATAATTAAAACTTTTTTTGTAAGAAGGCTACACTATACATCATTATGTTCTTTTTTTTTTCTTTTCTTTTTTTAGCATAGGGGATTGAATTAAACCCAGGTTCTCGTGCATGCTAAGCACATGCTCTATCCCTGAGTCCCCTTCCCTGTCCAGTCCAATCCCTTTGACCAAACTCAACATGGTGGAGGCACCAGGGACTCCAGAGTGTGGTTTCTCCCTGAAGCTTTCTTTGGCCCATGTTGCATTGTACACAGACCCAGAGCTGGAAGATGAAGTATTAGCTCGTAGATTGCTATTTACTAAAGATTTATCGGGAGAACAGTGCAGGAGATATTTAAAAACATGACATTGGGGAAACTGCTCTGCTTGAGGACTATGTAATTTATGGCCTTGATCTTCTCCAGATTTTCAGGGTGTGAGTGTGTTCGATGGGGAGGGGGCGGTGTGTGCCTCTGTGGGACCAATGCCTTGAGTTTCGACCCGTCTTCCTGCCTGTACAGGTTCTGGTAGAGACAGTACTGAGCAGTAGCATTGACTCTGGGTTAGAGGAGAGACACAGGAAGAAGCAGCAGAAAGGTGCTAGATAACTCCCAGAATATCAGCTCCAGGGGTACTGACCTATCTGTTTCCCTCAAACTCCAGGCAAGTGAAGACCCCAGTGACAGCACGGAGACAGAGGAGGACCTGGCCTCTGATGGTGGTCACTATGTTTCTAGACCAGCTGCTGGCTTGTCTAGGAGTGCAGGGAAAGAAGGAGATTATAAGGAAGATGATGAGGATGATAGTGGAGATGACACCTTTGGTGATGAGGACAATGGCCTGGGGCCCAAAAAGGGTCGTGAAGGCAGCATGTCCAGACTGGACAGCGATGAGGATTCTGCCATTACCACACAGTCCAGAGAAGACAGTGTGTCCCCAGAGGACAGCCCCCAGGATCTGGCCAGCGACAGCAGGGACCTTGACGTTGAGGATGGAGTGGACAGTGGGAGTGAGGAGCGCTGGGGGGGAGGTGGCAGTGATGGGGACAGCAGCCATGGGGATGGCTCGGAGTTTCACGACGATGGAATACAGAGTGATGACCCAGACAGCACCAGGAGTGAGGGAGGCAGCTCCAGAACGGACAGTGCTGGTGTCAAATCCACGGAGTCACAAGGGGACAGCAAGCAGGAAGGCACTCAGGATTCAGGTGACAGACAGTCAGTGGAGTCTCACAGTAGGAAGTTTTTCAGGAAGTCCCGCATTTCTGGGGAAGACGATAGAGATGACTTGGAGGATAGCAACACAACAGAAGACCTCAGCAGTGACTCCACAGAGAGCACCAACTCCCAAGAGGACAGCCAGGGCCAGTCCAGGGAAGACAGCAAGAGTGACTCTCAGGAGAACACCAGTGAGAGCCAGTCTGAGGAGAATGGTGAGGACGAGCAGGACACCAGCAGTGAGTCCAGCCAGGAGGGGGACCCCCCATCCCAGGAGAGCAGTAGTGAGTCCCAGGAAGAGGTGGTAGGTGAGTCCAGGGGTGACAACCCGGATGTCATCAGCCAGGAAGACAGCGAGTCCAGTGAGGAGGACAGCTGGAATACCTTCTCCAGCTCAGAGAGCGAATCCAGAGAGCAGCAGGCTGACAGTGAGTCCAATGAGAGCCTCAGGTTCTCAGAGGAAAGTTGGGAGTCCCCTGAAGATGACAACAGCTCCAGCCAGGAGGGCCTGCAGTCCCAGAGCACGTCCACAGAGAGCCAGAGCCAGAGCCAGGAGAGCCGGTCTAGGGAGGACACTGACAGCGATTCTCAGGACACCAGCAGGTCAAAAGAAGATAGCAACTCCACCGAGAGCACATCCAGCAGCGAGGAGGATGGCCAGCCCAAAAACATGGAGGCCGAGAGCAGGAAACTGACCATGGACATGTATCACAACAAACCCATAGGGGACCAAGATGACAATGACTGCCAGGACGGCTACTAGCATCTGCTGTCCTAAGAAGTGGCTCTCACAGAAAGGGGTCCTGCACTTTGAGAATAGGGAAATTATCATAACTATAATTTATTGATATTTTGATCACAAAGGAATTACTGGACATTGCAGTGGCTCCAAGAGTGCCACCGTTCCACGGAAGTTCAAATAATGTGGAGCGACCCCAGGACACACTTCATGAGCTTGGACGCAAGAGAGATGTGCCTCACACTCTGCAGCTGAAGTGGTTCTGAGCTCATTAACCCAATGGATGGTTACTGGGGTTCTATGATGCACCAGGCACCTTGCGAGGTGCTAGGGATACCACAAAGCTTCAGACTCACTTCTTGCTCTGGAGGATCTTCTAGAGAGATACAGTTAAAAAGGGGTGTATGGGAGGGCAGCAGGAATTGTTACGAACTACGTGGTAAAGGCCATTGGGAAGATATGAACAAAGGATTGGGAGCACAGAAAGGGGTGACCAACTTGGCCTGGACAGTTAGTGAGACACCGTGGAGAAATCACTGAGTTGGAGGGTGGTGACGGATTTCTCCTTGGAAGGCAAGAAAATCCTATTTACTCTGGGGAGAAATCATAGGAAATCTTACGTGATTAAACACTTAGTTTATAAAGGCAATTGCAAATTGGCACAATGAGGTGTTTTGGATAAGCAAAACTTTTTTTTCCAACTAATTTACCTTACTTGGTGTTTTCTGTGGAGCTCCCATGACCACAGCCCCGCTGGTGATAGTAGGAGGAGTGGGGAGGAGGGAGCGGGGGAGGAAACTCCTCTTCATGTACCAAAATGTTAGCATCGTTTTCTCTGAAAGCAGTTTATGTGCAATGCTAGAAAAAATGTTCTCTGGATTCTCTTCACATGTTGCAAAATTCTGTATATAAGATTCAATTGATTTTTGTTAAATGCCATTTGAAATGTTACCTCAACAGAAAATATTTGTTTTGTAATAAAGATAATAATACCCAGAAGAAATGTGTGCTTATTTGTTATAGGGGTATTATTAAGCTATACTTATGATAAATAGCTTTTTAAAAAAATTATCTAATCATTTTTTAGCTTTTTCCCATCAAAATGAAAGGCACCCTTAAATCATTTCATGGAGTTGGTATTTGTGACTCAGGTAGCATTTTGAAAAATTTATTCTATTTGTTCCTTGTGATATTTCACTAAATATGCCTGGTATGTGTGAGAAAAGAATGAAGTATACTTTTAACTTGTTTGAGGCCACACCAACAATTTGTGATATTTGAATTTAACATTAGTTTTTGCCAGCCTCAGATTCATTTGTGTGTATCCTAGAAGCTACAAGCAAACATATTCCTCATATTTTTATTTCTCTGAAGAACTCTACTTAGCCTCATCAGTTTGGTGTTCTTTTGTTTTATTTTGTTCCACTTTTTATAAATGTGCTCTCCCCCTTACTTCCACTGGGGTGAATCAGAACTCCCCTACAGTTTCACTGAATCAGTCTGACCCTTTTTATCCCTTACCTGCCTCTCTTTCCTTGGAGCTTATACATTTGAAATTTTTAAAAAGTGTGCGGGTGTGCTTGTGTATGCATGTGTATGCATAGCCTTCCCCTCTGAGATTTTAATTTAGTAAATCTGGAATGCGACTGAGAATTCTGCATTTTTAGAAGGCTCTAGGGAGGTTCTGATGGAGCTCATCCATGAACCCACATTTGAATTTGATGGCTCTTCACGTTACTTATCTGGTTCCACTAACCTGTGGGTTTCCGCCAACTCACACCCCTTTTGTGAGGCGAACTGCCCATGTTTGGACCTCTTGAGGCACAGGTGACCGGATTCTAAGCACACAGATGTCCCATCTCACAACAGGAGAGTGGCTGGGACCAATCCAGACCCAGGGAGGTCAGTGTGGCCTGGCCAGCAAAGGTTCTGTGTGAACATGAGCCATGCTGCCTGGAGGTCCAATTTAAGTCTTCCTTCCTGGAAATTTAGACCTTTACGGGAGGAGAGGTCAGAAAGTGTTAGAACAGAAATGAATATACAGTAACACAGAAATGGAGAGAGAGCTACACCCCTTTATGTAAAGCACAAACTGGAAATCATTTCCCTTTTGATACCGAGGGGCAAAGTGATAATCTTGCCTGATGCTTGGGTCCTTACCCTCCTATGGCCCACCAGGCCTTCTAGATTCCTGTGATGTTTCTTTCGCTTAAATCTCACCACGTCTTCACAACACACCCACTCATGCTGAATGGGGCTTTGATTCTTGCAACCAAAATCTAACGAATCCAGATTCCTGAGCTCATGTGTTGTTCACCAGTGTTTCTAAGCCTTATAACTCCTTAACTAAGTTAACTCACAACTTCTGAAAGAGAACAATAATAAGAGTCTCAGCCATGTTCATGACAGAAATCCTGTAACTCAGAGCTAGGTTAGGTTTTCTTTTAAAATTCCATCAACTCATTTTACGTACCAGGTGTAGACATGGATGCCCCTTGCACATGAAATGTGAGTTAAAGCTGGCTGAACTTGTTCTTCAGCTTTAAATATTCAGAAATTTCTTCCCGTAGTTCCTCACTGAAGTCTACACTGGACGGTTCCATGTGGGAAGACGTCACAATCAGTAACGAAATGTTAATTATACCAGGAAAGAACAAGAATGAAAGCCGATATGGGGAGCATAAAGGAACAGAGGGAACCATGCAACATGAGTGCTTAATAGCGCCGGACTTAAATAAGGTGACACATCTGGGAGGCTCCAGGAGAAACCTTACAGATAGAGAAGAAACAGCAGAAGCCCGGCTCCCTCTTCCCTGAAAGTGCTCTAAAGCGATCTTGTGCCATGATCAACCATTCAGTGGTCCTTATTCTTCTAAGCTCACCAGGGTAAACCCACTCTTCTTTACACTCCTTCAGAGCATAGTCGAGTTGGTTTCTGCAGAGACCTGCTGCTCTGGGAGCTGTCCCATTTCCTCACATGAGATTCCATGCTTATGTAGATCTTAACATTTATGCCTGCGTTAGGTGACAGTCTTACTTTACTCTTCCTAGTGCAGTGGGCACTTCCTTGTTGCTCCCAAATTAATACAAACTGGTGGTTTCTTAGCTCTTCTTGTTTACTCAGTGACTCATTCAAATGCTTATAGAGCACATCTATGACCCAGGTAATGGGAAAATACGAGAATGAATGAAATCTGGTCCATACGTCACTTATGAGAGACAAGAGGTACTTCAGTGATAGACAGGCGGTGCGAGGGTATGGCTGGAACCGAAGTTCTTCACGGAGGGAAGTCATTCACCTGTGAAGAGTGGGGAGGTGTGGGGCAAGTGAGATAGATCAAAACGGGGGCAGCACGTTCTAAGCTGCAGGATCACAAAAGTGAATTATGGGATTGTTTATGCCATGTTAATTTCTGATTTTAAAAATATGGCATCACTGAAGCACTGGGAAGAGAGGAAGGAGAAGACTGAAAAGGGGAGAGACTGAACATGTGGGCTGGGATCCAGTGTGAAGGTCTCTGAATGCCAGAGCAAGAGGGATAGTCTTCGTCTTTCCTGGTTGCTGGCTTCTCACACATTATATACTATACACAGCACAAATACCTTTAAGATAGATCTTATAAGATCTCCATGACTTTTAAATATATCTGTAAAAAACAAAGTAGAGGGAATGAAGTACAGAAAAGATAATTTAATTGGCCTGGTTCAAAATTTAAGAAATGGCCGAGACTGGATTTCACTTCAGTTCTGTGATGAGCCGCTGAAAGCTTTAAGCGCTGAGGTACTGTTCACAGAGGCCCTTATCGTCTCAAAATGTAAGGCGGGGAAATGCTGTATTCTCTCCTTGCTCTCAATGCCCAATAACCCCCAAAGCCTCTCTAACAACTTGTATTTCCACTGTCATTATTTTGAGTTAATCATATTCAGTGGAGGAATAAATTTGTTCTTACTTCTGCCAAAGTTTTCCCACAGAGACATATACTAGAGTGCCAAAGATTACTACTGAAGGTTTAAAAACTACCGTGATGATGTTGGAGAAACTCTGGTGAACTGATTTCCAAAAAAAAAAGGAAGCTTGTGCCAAAATCCTTAACAAATATGGCTTCATGTGCATCGACCTCAGCCTGGAAGCTAATGACACTGCCACACAGCACTTGACACTGGGGTTGGAACCAACAACCCCCTGGTCATATCTCCAGCAGCCGTCAATGACACAGGTACAGCCAACTCCCTTAGGAAACTGACTACCTCTGTCACTGCTGCCAGGGACAGTTCTCCAGGAGCCCTGCTTGACTGTATAACCGGTTCTCATTTCTGAATGCAAAGCAGAGCCTACACTAAGTGTCTCGGCTCTAGTTGGAAACCTAGAAAGAAAGTCTCTTACGTTTTTTACTTCCTTATCACAAGGCACATTTTATCTCCCACCCAAGCATATAAAGGTGTATGTACCATACGTAGGAACAAGGTTCAGGTGCTGCGTGAGCAAAAAGATTGAAAAAGTTCTACCGATGAGGAGAAGAAACATATCCATGTCAGGAAGAGGAGCAGAGCTGATCCTGTGAGGTCGACCAAATCCACTTCCATGGCTAGGTGCGACCCATATCCGTGAAGATGGAGGCCTAACATTAATACCCAGGGGAAAGTGTGGGCTCTCACAGGAGATGGAGAAGGCTTTGGTTTCAGCTGGGCCACCTTCCAGATGGACATTCCATTTCCCATCTTCCATGAGGCTGGGTGCACAGGACTCCGTGAGTTGAGGCGATCTTCTCCCTTCCTTCCTCCTTTGCATGGAAATTGGCAACTCTTAACAGAATCTCCTTGTTCCAAAAGACACCCTCTTGGGGCTGGGGATTTAGCTCAGCGGCAAAAGCGCTTGCCTGGCAAGAGCAAGGTCGTGAGTTCGGTTCCTGGTACTGGAGAAAAACAAACAAACAAACAAAAAAACAAAAGACACCCTCTTCTTCATTGTTTCATGAGAGAGAAACCAATGTCAGCCTTATTTAATACACCGTATTTTGGGATATCCTGTACAGCAGCTTTATCTATATCCCCACCAATAGATTTACATATGTGTATGCTCAGAGAGTGTGTGAATATAACTTTAATTGTACAGTATTTTAGGTTTCTCAATTCAAATCATGAGTAGATTTTCCTTTATTTAATAATAGAAGGAAGTGGGTTCTTTGATTGTAGTCCCATAAAATCTTCAGGTATACTCAGTTGTCTTTAGTATTGTTTAGATGAAATTAATATTTAGACTGTGAATTACCAATATGGCATAGAAAATTATTGCACAAAAAGACTCAATTAAAATCAGTGAAATGCTTGGCATTTGCAAATATGGTTAATAAAGAGAATGCCCCAGCATGCAAATTATTCTGTAGGAGTACATAGACATTACATCATTTCACAAAATTGTTAGATATCATTTGGTAAATTACTCCATCAAGGACTAAGATTATTGGTTCAAAATTCAAATTGAGACTCATGACTGTTCAAGTACAGATAGCAAATTTTGCTTTTATGAATTAATGAAAATGAAATGAGAACAAAAAATCTCCTTCTGTTGCACTGAAATCTGTCTAACAGTGGTGATTTTCAGCACTGGCTGCACATTACCTGAGGAGCTTTTAAAAAAATATCATTATCCTGCTTCCCACTTTGTTTTATTTTGTGTTTTTGAGACAGAGTCTCACTGTGTTAGTTTAGGCTGGCCTTGAACTCACTATGTAGCCCAGGCTGGCCTCGAACTCACTGTGATCCTCCTTCTTCAGCCTCCCCAGTGCTGGGATTACAGGTGTGCACCACCTAGTCCTCACTTTGAAGCTCTGATTTAATTGGTCTGCAATTGAGCTTTGACTTTGGTAGTTTTTAAAAGTCCTGTGAATTTAGAATTCTGAAGGGCTACCAGGTAGCACAGAAAACTTCCACTATGATGTAATAGTTCATCCTAGAACATTTGGGATATTCTTAGTTCCTGCTGTGGGTCTAATTTTGAAAGAAAAAAATACTAAACAAATTCTATTCCTATGTTATACCATGGGCTGAATTTTTATCTCAGTTACACAGACTTTTCTGCTTTCTCTGCCAAAGAGCTAATAGGCCCAACATTTTGGAATCTGGTACACGTAGGTCTACTCATCTCCCACGTGACTATTTAGGACATAATCATCAGAAAAAAAAAATGTGAGTATGCTGTGCTTTTTTGGTGAACCCTGTGCCTCAAGATCAGTGGTAAGGGAACATCTCTGACTGTAAGTCTCCCTTGCTCCCTATCGGAACTGCCTCACTATCAAAATAAATCTGACCTAAGCTTATGGATGGTTTGTTTCCCTCTGTCCGTGTACAACAGTGGAACAGATGGAAGAAATTACAGCCGAGAAGTCTCTCCAGACTGCAGGGTTCCTGGTCAGAAAGCTTGGCTTTCCTTTTTTGGTGCAGATCTTGACTATTATTTTAAGCAACTGCATATAAATGTGGTGTTTGCTCGGAAGGCTTGAGTGATATGAAAGGGAAAGCTTCTGTCCTTTTGAAACACAGCCATCCCTTCCAAACTGCAGGTCTAGAGACGGCTGGATGTTCTCCATGCGGAAGAAGGAAGCGGATGAGGAAGCCAGCCTGAGCAGTGCAGGGGAAGAGGCATCGTCTTACTTGATGTTGTTATTGAGCGTACATCTGTCCCCATCCCAAAAGAGCTCCAGACCTCAGCTTCTTCCTTGCCTGGGTCCAGTCTTGCCTGTCCTCCCTGGGATAGCATGCTGTGCTAATACAGAGCCAGTTTACACAGGTGGGAAAAGGACTCATTGTTATGCTAGAAAATGGTGACGGTACCAGTAAGGAAGATCTTGTTTGTCCTTTAGATGTTCCACTCTGAGGACAGACTTCAGAGGACCACTGGCTTTTGTTCCTTCCTGCGCTGTTGCAGAATTCAAGAGATCAGAGAGACCAACAAGGAAATGGGAGGATTTTATTTCAAGGTTTTAAGTGCACATCAGCTCAGCTTGACCTTATTATGTCCAAAATAGCTTAGCGTTGGACAAAGGACAGGCTCCAGTGTTTATACATTTGGTCAAGGGGGTGGTCTTTGGCCAGAACTTGTGGGTGGGCAGAAGGAGAACAAAGTCAATTTGTCAAGCAGTGACAGTTTTGTATCCTGGTGGCCTGGCTTGGGCATAACAGGATGTTATGGGAACGGGAGGTTGTAAAATTGTACTTACAGGGACAAAAGTTATTGTTTTTATCTGTATTAGAACATAGAACAGCAGCTGTGGGGAGGGGAAAGTTTGGGAGGTTTGACCTTTTCAAGTCTTGCTCTAGTGCCACACCGGAGGAAGGCGAATTCCTGTCTCCACCCCTCAGGCTGGAGCTTGACCAAGCAGGGAACTTGATGGGACCAAAACCCACAGCGATAAGAAAGGAGTGAATAAGAGAGAGAATGAAAGGAGAAATGAGGAGGACGAGGAGGACAGAAAAAGAGAGCCGGAAAGGGACGCCCTACTCCCATGAGAACCGGGTTCCTCTTGGGCTGGTGATTGTCTTGCGGCGCAAAGTAACAACTGTTTTCAGTGTTCTATGGAAGGTGTGCGCAGAGGTTTGATGGGGAACAGGGTTTTCTTCCGGGAGTGGACTGTGCCTCCCTGACTTCACACAGTGGGCGAGTTGCAGCGCACCACGGAGGAAACGCATATGCCCTGAATTCACCCGGATGTGATTGACACAAAGACTTCCGGCCGCAGATTCACAGGGAGACCTCTTGGCTCTACTGCAGAAGAGTGCGGATTTTTTCCTAGTCGCAGTTACTGCTTCAGTTTTCAAGTTATCAGAATTACTCGCTTTTCTCATACACCTTTCCTCTTTTGTCTTATTACTGATGAAATAACAACAGCTTTATGAAAACATCAATTTACCACCTCCCAACCTTAGATTACCCGTTCTAGACTAACCAAGGAAAAGAGAACCCACCACCAAGTTTAACAATGACTGTCTTTTTCCCTGGCAAGATTCCTTTAAATTGAAATGCCTGTACACACAGTTTGAGTGGAGAACTGCAGGATCTTCTAGTCCCCTCCTACAGTGAAGCACAGTTAACTAGGCTTATAAATCTTGATTTAGTGCTAGTGATTTGATGGCCCAGCTGGGAGTGAAACATGTAACTTATTTTTATTTTATTTTATTTTATCTTATTTATTTATACCTTTCTGAGACAGAGTCTCACTATGCAGTTCAGCCTGGCCTTGAGCTCACTTTGTAGCTCAGGCTGGTCTCAGACTCACAAAGATCCTCCTGTCTCAGCCTCCCGAGTGCTGGGATTATAGGCATGCACCACCATGCCCGACTTAGAAACATGTAACTTAGGAGAGAATAGCAATTCCTTTGTTGTAGCCTTGCCTGAGTTCAAGTCTAAGAGTTATGACTTAATAACAGCAATATGAGCCAAAGGCTAAAATTATCATTAAATCGATCGAAACTTGTTTATATCTCTTTATAGCTTTGTTTATATCTCTCCCTTATGTCCCTTTATGATTGATTCAAGCGCTGAGATTGAACAGTATTTGAAAGAAAATAGTCCAATTTTATCATTTTCTCTAGTTCCCAGCAGGTGGCAGTGTTGCCCGGCGTTGTGGTCCCTCAGAGGCTGGATGCGGATTCAAAGCACAGCTGAAGTGGTCAACCTCTGTCCAAATAACATGTGGCCAATGATCACAGTAGAGGGGCGCAGTCGGTTATCCACCACCGGTAACTTGTTAAACTGTTCAGTACACTACTTATTCCTCAACAGCCTTGCTCCCAGACCACCTCTCTTCTACAACTGCACGTTGGTTCCCTTTGATTATTGGAAAAGTCTTAATTCCTTAGTCTAAAAATTAAAAACTTCCATCTACTGAATTCAATTAGTTTCTCCGGCCTGAAGGACATAATTCCACCCCCAAATACGTCATGCAGCAGCCATATTGACTCCCTGGCCTGCGAAGAACTTGAAAGACAGCGGGTGCAGGAAAGTTCCGGAATCTTCCTTCACTATCTCGAAAGCAGATGAAATTCCCTGCCCAGCACCGGGAGGCTATCATCCTTATCCTCAAGGACAGAAAGCCAAGGTCAGGGGAAATCTGTGCAAATAGTTCTTCCACAGTAATTCTTAGTTTTCCAGTCACTTCTCCACCCACTTAATTACCCTTTTTCAAGCCCACTGTCTTGTTATGGTTCCACAGTTTATGACTCTTTGTCCCAGTCCCTGTTTACAGGTCCAACTCTAACTGACTGGGGTCTTTGTTTCTTTACGAATGCCCCAGGCTACATCAAACCTGTGTTAAATACATTTGTTTGCTTTTTCCTGATGGTCTCTCTTATGTCAACTTGATTCTCAGGCCTAGGTAGAAAACTCTAAGAGAACCGCAGTGAAGGTTTGCTTCCTCTACTGTGGCAGTCAGGATGGGCAGCAATAGGAGAAAACAGGAAGGAAGGATAAGAATTAGGAGTTTCCCACAGTATCTTAGGACTATGGAAATTATTGAGGAAATTAAAAAAATAATTCGTTATAAGGTGTGTTGGTTTGGCATTTATTTTTGCAAGGGAACACAATACAATACAGGACACATATTTTATATGATTATTTATAGTAGTCACCCAAAGAACAATGTACAAAAGAGTGCAGGAAATCTGTCCACACACCAAGACCAAGGAATGAGGACCTGGATCCCACAGAAATGTCCTGTATGAGTCCAGTTGAAGACCTAGAGCCCATAACAATGCCTCCCAAGAGTCCACATGGAGGCCCAGAGCCCATAACAATATCTCATGCAGGCCTGTTTCACGCATCTGTGCTGGGAAGGCCGTAAGGTTAGTGGTGGAATTTAGAATATCTGTGCCAGTGGGATGAAGGGTCTGTGCTAGCAAGCTGAGGGATCTCCACTGAAGCCAGGAAGCGATACTCAGAAAAACCAGAACTCCCCTGAAAGGTACCACAGCCATTCTCAGGAACAGTGAGGTCCCGAGCTCCTTCAATGATCAAGATAGCCAAGTTCCCATCAGGGAAGCCAATGCAGCAAGCTTCTCCAGGAGACCGGCAGTGCACCATCTTCCCCTCCAGAGCCAGAAAGCGATGCTCAGAATGAGGACCAGAGCTCCCCCAAAAGTGAACCGAAGCTATTCTCAGTGCCAATGAGGTCCTGAGCTCCTTGGAGGATGAAAATCGCCAAGTTCATCAGGAAAGCCAGCATGATGAGCTCCTCCAAAAGAACCAACAGCTCCTTACAGCTTCTACCAGCTCCCAACAGCATTTCTCTGTTCCCAACAGCCTCCCTCAGCTCCCAACAGCCTAACTTCTTCTCCAGTTCTGCCTCTTACGCTGCTGGCAACAATTCTCAGGTGGGCCTCCCACACCCAGCACCACGCTTACTCAGTTCAGCTGGCGGTTATAAGTTGACCGCCAGTTGTCAATCCACTACATAAGGCAACCAATGGATTGGAATGCAAAAGGGCTAAGGAACAATATAAACTAGGCAGGTGAGCACTGTTAGACATGCACCTGTTTATTTTCCCCTTCCTCTCTCTCTTTTGGGTACACATAGGAAAGACAATGGCTACCCACAGCCCTGATCTGACATGTTGCTCCACTAATTCTCTTCATGAGTCCTAGGGAAGATTCTGATTGGCCAAGTTTGAACCAATTATCTATGACCAGTGGAATAGAACCAATTAAAGTAGATGTGGCCTCTCCATAACAGCAGAGCAGTTTCCAGTGTGGCCTAGGGCCATACAGGCCTAAGGATGCGGCTGGTGCACCCTGAGGTGTATGATGCCATGGTGATGTGGAGGGAATAATGAGGACATAGGTAGGGGATGTCTAAAAGAAATAGTTTGTAGGACATGGGTAGTGATCAGCTAAAAGGTGAAAGAAAGCATGAAAACCCTCTAGGAATCACAGATCAAAATATGACAAGGGAACAGTAGTCATATAGGAGAAGATGGTAAGTTCAAGAGAAAGGTTCTGGACTTAGCATTAGAATTTTGTCCATAATGATGATATTGTCCATTAGAACTTTTTGTGGAAAATCATAAAATACATCTGAAAATTTTAATTTAGTTTTTTGTATTCTCTGGTGAATAACTCAGCACATTGCCTCAAGGTTTTGGGAACTTGTGGTTGAGAAGAGCAAAGGCACTAAACCAAAATAACTTAACCAAATACTCTATTCCAATAGGAAGGCACCGAGATATCTTGATCAAGTCACCTCTTCTACATCATTAATTTACTGTTTCAGTCTGTGAAATCAAGTCATGCGTGCAGTGAGGAATTTTGACTGATCTGCAGCAACGGCAACTCATTCATACATTCTTTAAATGCATACTATTTGAGGAGGATTTCCCTCCTACGTATCTCCATTTCTTTCACAGAAAACCTTTTTTTCTCACACTTTTGCTCCTGTGGATTGCTTATAGCCTATGCCTGCTTCTATGAAGGTGTATTACACCTTGATCCATGTCTCCACTTTTACGTCAAACTTCTCTTCCACTTCTTATCTTGTCTTTGTCCATTTTATGTACTGCATTAATTTTATTGCTGTCACAGGAAGTATTTTGGAGCAGAATTAATTTTAGATTATTTGTCCTTTAAAAGCAGAAGTAGAAATAACTTAGCTCTCCATTGCTGTGTAACAAATGATCCCCAAACATTGTGGCTTACACAAAAATATTAATCTCACAGTATATTTCGCTGGGCCCAGAACCTGGGCTGGGCTCAGCTGGGTCCCCTGCTGCTGGGTCTTTCATGGGCTGGGCTCAATGTGTCACTGGTGGTTATGGTTGTCTTGGGTCTCAGTTGGGAAAGATCTGCTCCTAAGCCCACCCATATGCTATCCTGCAGGGCCCCATCCCATGCCTGTGTCTGCTGGAGGTCATCCTCAGTTTCTTCTTCTGTGGGCCTCTTAATGAGTAAGAGAGGACAAGCAAGACAGAAGTCATAGTCTGTAGAATGTAACCTCAGAAGTGATGACCCATAACTTTCATTGTGTGCTGTTTGTTATGTGCAAGTCTCTCAAAGGATGCCATGAACATCATAGGGAGAAGAATACTGGGGGCTCCTGAGAATTCTGCACCACATTGTAAATAAAATAAAGAATGCTATAGTCCAATGGGGATTACAGATCACATCCAGCTGCATTTTTCTTATTTGCACACCTAAGTTTGTGTGTGGCTATGTGTATAGGTTTGTGTGCATAGGTAGGGAAGAGTAGGTTGTACTTAGCAGTAGAAGGCATATGAAAACCATTCCAAATTATATGCTGTCCTGCTCTCCTCACTCCCACTTTCAGCTTTTAGGAGGCAGCTTTTTCCTCTACTTTGCAAAGAAAATAGAAACCAGAAAGGGACTCTTCCTGCTCATTGAATGCCTGTGCTCCAAGCATGTCCACCTACCGTCTTTGTCCTCACAGCTGTCCCACTCTAGAGCTGCACACGCTTCTGACCAGGCTGAGCATCTACAAGTGTGCTGGCCTCTAAATTCCTCTCCTTCCTCAGGGGCCACATTTTATTCTTTCTTTTAAAAGATAGGAAGCCAACTTTCCTCCTGTCCAGAGAAATGCTTTGCTTAATGCCTGCTTTCACGAGGTCCCTTTCCAATCAGTTTTCCTAAATCAGTCATTTATTGTCTTTGACTTGCTTTTTTCAACTTCCCTTCACACCTCAGCTCCCTGGAATCTGATTTGCGTCCATCCCCTCTTTAACAACACGGTCCTCTCTCCTGCCTCCATCCCTCTGCCAACTCATCTCTTGTAATTTACTCCTCTTTGTCACAAAACTCCTTACTGTTTCAAGTTTCTTTTCCATTCTGCCTAGAGGAAGCCCTATTGTCAGCGTCGCTAATGATGTGAAATCCAATGATCAATTCTTATCCCCTTCCACGTCCAGCATCATGGTAGCACTAGATGTGGTTGATGGTTATGTCTCTCTTGCTACATTTTCCTCACCTGATTTTAAGGACACCACTTGATTTTCCCTCTACCTCTTGGCCATGCTCTCTGTGATTATGCTGGTTCCTCTGGTTTCTCTCAGTCTCTTAGGAGTACTGGAGGGTCTCAGAGCTCAGTCCCAAATCCTCTTCTTTTCCAAACCTACACTACTTCCTCCATGAGCTCAGCCCAGCTCAAGGCTTTAAATGTCATGCACGTACCCACAGCTTATTCAGACACTCATTTAACAACCAAGTTATGTTCCTATGACTAGATTGTTAAAAGAATTGATTGCTAGAAGAGAAGCTGTATATAGCATGTACAATACAGTATTCAGAACAAAGAAATGGTCAAAGGAAACTCCAACTTGATGACTTTGCTTTTATTTGCATAATTCCTACCTGCAGTACTAAATGTATAACAAAACACAAAACTACAGTACTGTAATATATGGTCCAATCAGCAAAACTTGCAATACTCTATAAACAAGATGTACAAAAAAGGGACATTGAGGCTGTATAAACAGATATACCAAAAAAAAGGGCTGTAAGTCTGAGTGTGAGCTCTAAGTTCAAACAGTATACCTCAATCCTAAGTCCCAAAAGGCATTAAATAGGTAGGTCATTAAATGAGGAGTAACTGCAGAGTTATTTTGGTGGCCCAGACTTTCCTTCTAAACACTGTATTTGTCATCTCCCTCAGGATATTTAACATGTTATTAAACTTAAGATTTCCTGAACTCTTGACTTCCCCCTTCTGAAATTTGTTTCTCCTAATATCGCCTCACCTCAGCTCATGGTATCTCGCTTACTTTTCAGTTCCATGGGCCACCACCGTCTTTGGCTCGTCTCGTCTCCCACACTCTTTGCTGAAACATGATTGTCATCTGCTGGCATTGTCTTGGGAAAATATCTTGAAGCCACTGCCTTTGTGCCCTGGTCTGATCACCAGCTGCTCTCACCGTCACTGTGACAACCGTACTGTCTTCTACACTGGCCCCAGCCCTCTTTTCCTTGCACGCCACAGTCTGAGCTCCTCACAGCAGGTAGGGGAACCTTTGAAACAGGAGTCAGGTTATGCCACCCCTCCTCTCACAGGCCTGCGGAGGTGGGGTGACATTCCACACACACTGCACACCAAGTCCTTCTGAGATCCCAAGATCTTAGATGACCTGAACTCTGACCACTTCTGCTACTGCTTTCCTTGAGCTCGCACTCCTCCGGCGAAGCTGGCCCCTGGGTCTTTCTGAAATCTGCCATGTGTTTGGAGACTTTCCAGGCTACCCCACCCCTCATAGCCCCATGTTTGACCCCACATCTCTGTCATTGTCTGCTTGAAGGTCACCTTATCCAGGAGACTGATTCAGACTCTCCTCCACATCATTCTTCTGCAGCTCCTACTTATTCACCCTGTGTTTTTAAAAGCACTTCTTGCAGGGCATGGTGGCACATGCCTGTAATTCCAGCACTCAGGAGGCTGAGGCAGAAGGATCATTGCAAGTTCCAGACCAGCTGGGGCTACAAAGTGGCTCAAGCCCAGCCCGAACTGCATATCGAGACCCTGTCTCAAAAAGACAAGAAAAAAAAAAAAGC